TGTCTCGCTCCCTTTCCTTTTACAAAAATTAGGCTATACAATGGTGTTTGGCGACTAATCGCACTTTAAGGAGGTGAACCACACAAGCAAAAGCAAAGATATCTCCTCAAACAAGCTCAGCTATCATCTGAAGTGACTATAGGCATATGGTGCAATCATGAATCAGTGCGGCACTCGTATTTTCCGTGCATGTACGGATGCGGATTTGAATTGACTAATGTTCAGTTTGCTCTCATGATTCTTTCTAGTCGTCGCCACTCATCATGATCAGTCTCACGCATGCATTGCATGCAAAAGTTGAGGAGTAAAGGAAAGATCGAAAAGGAGATAGATTCCTGAGAAGTTAATTTAGTACTCCCTCTATTCTAAATTATAAGTCGCGTTGACTTTTTTGTTCGTCCATTTTACTAACTAGACATATTATTATATCTAGATATATAGCAAAATGGATGTACTAAAAAAGTCAAGCGACTTATAATTTAGAACGGAGGGAGTACATTGACAAGAATTCGTCTTTCCTGACTGGATCTTTAAACTCCAATCTATTATTTTGGTAACTATAGTGTTAAAAAAACCATCACATGGTCTAGAATTTTTTTTTAAAACGATATCATTAGATTCTATGATGATCTAACTGCTTATATTAAACCAAAGAGTTCATTCCTGTTACAATTAATAAAATTAAATAATAATTTAAAGAAACACAACAATTTATGATTTTAATATGAGTTGGGAAAAATATTTAAATAGATATTAGTGAAGTCAAAATTTGACTGGAAGGAAGAAGTCTATTTTTGGCTATCCAACATTTAATTAAAATAAGTTAGTGCTTTACTATAAATAAAGTTAAAAATGTGGTCTCTTCTCTTAAGAGCTAAAAGCTATCACCATTGATCTTATAACTCCAGATTGTAATGGTCTAGACCCATCAAAAGATATAGAAAAAATAAATAGTGTGTATCCAATACAGATATAACAAGTATGAAAAGAAATAATAATATATAATTTAAACAATGTTACAACTAGATTTTGCCAATAGTAATAAAACATTGAAATCACATGAAAGTCTATGGGAGGGATCGATCATATGCATTATAAGGTGCTACATGCCTTCAAAAATCGTCAAACGCTTTTGTTCCCCATGCTGCTCATTCTCTTGGCATGCTCTTACACTTCACCATCTCTGTTTGTCCTCTCACTAGCCCTATGGGCACCAAGTGGTTCTTTCCATATGCTCCTTGATAGAAAGCTTTGGCATCATCATCAACGCCATTGTGGCGAAACAACCAAATATAACATGTTGATTCACGATCTTGGCTCAAATCAAACGACTTCAATGGTGGCGACCTAGCAGAGGAACAAGTTCCCATTAGCACAGTTCCGAAATCACGAAAACCATATATTCTTATGATATCTTAAACGCAATTGGTATATCAGTTCCCATGACAAAACCATATCTTCTTATGACATCATACGTGCAATTGGTATATCAGTTCCCTAATGTGCATGCATCAGAAGCTTGCTTGAAACATCGTTTCCCCTTTTCCTTCACTAGGAGTTGATCGAGTGGAAACAAACATATGCTTGCATCATGACTAATAGCACTGCAGTATAGTTACATTGGTAGAAGGTGAAAGGTCTTGTGAGCACCCAAGAGGCAGGGGTGAATTGGGTGTCTAATTCAAACGTAAAAACCTATGGCACAATAAAAACTGCCTCTACAAAACCATAAACACTCTAACATAATGTGCACTTTGGGTTTTTCTTGTGTGCTCTAACTTACCATCAACCCAAAATATATTAGCAACCTAGACCAAATTCTGTCAACTAGCCTATAGCTAATCTAGGAAAGTAAAGGTCACACAAGCAAAGCATATGCGAAAGTAATAAACGCGGTAAATAAAAAACTAAGGGCCGAGAGGGTAAATTCCCGGAGATGCAATGATATATCCTGTGGTATCAGTTGTCAAAACACAAACCCTAGTCCATGTTGAAGATGCGTCGAGGTATGCTTTTAGTAAGCAAGTCTCTCCTGGTCATGGTGTTAGATTTGAAACATAGGCTTCTACCAACCAAAGGCTAGTGTGTGAGGTCACATATAGTCTCACCACCACCACAGTCCTCTTTTGGTCACCTCGATGTCGTGTCCACTGTGGATTTTCTCCACATGAGGAAGGTGGTATCTCTTCGTCGCCTGCATAATGATATGACGCCGCACCACATTCAGAATGGAGGGTCACCGCCTCCAAGGACACCATGCCTTTACCGGAAGGTCAGAAAGACCTGAAGCGCTCCAAGTCTCTAGGATACAAGGGCAACACAACCCAATAACTCGAAGCTCTCAAGCTCTAAGGCATAAATCTCACATACATGTGCAATATAGTGTCTATCCTTGCCTTGGATGTGATCTTGAATGTCTTGAGAGGTGGATGGGTAGAAACATTTGCTCTAACTTGTAACAACCTTGGTGCACTCCAACACACTCAAGCAAGTGAGGAAACCTCAACCCCCTCCAAGAGCCATTGGAAAAAGTCTGACTTCAAATCATTTTTTTTTTTCAGCGCGAGGTCGAACCCCCGTTTCCATTTATAGAGAAAACGGAAATACATGAGTTTGGTAAGAAGATAGACTAGAAAGAGAACAGCAGCTACGACACCTAGCTAATATGCACTCTGTTTCGGAGTCAGAAAGCTACAAGAGTTTTAAGCAAGCTCGACCGGCCATGTTCACAGAAAGAGCAGAGCAGAAAGAGACTTTATTACAGTTTTCACCCAGAAATGACCACAGACGGCCATGCAAAAAAACTGAACTTTCATAGACAACAAAGTATCGGTCAGTCTTCCTGAGGGCATATGTAAATTTGAATCTTTCTAAGCTGCCAGAGGCTTAGTTTAGGGTGTAAAGTGAGATAGGAATGTTATTGCACATGTTTTTGGCACAGCTCTGTCCGGCGAAACGTACAACACATACAGTAGTGCGGTGTATGCAGGCTCTTCACTGCGTCGATTGGGCATCTGATTGCTCAAGATTATACGCCGTCTATAAGTAATATCTATATCTCTATATAAAAAAAAACTCTAAAGTAATCATCTATCTGGTGATAAAAAAACGTATCCTATATGGTCATAAAGACTAAAAAACACTATCCCACCAAATATGTACACTATCCGGCCACGTTCCTCCGCACTAAAAATCCAAAGTCCACGCCTCCGTGCAAAGACTAAAAAAAAAACCTTACCAAACCGACAAAATACTCCGGTAAAGAAACTGCAGTCGGACAGGACCAGGACCGGAAAAAAAAATCTTGGCAAAAAAACTGGATCAGACTGGGACGGAAAAAAATCGCTGGTAAAAAAAGCTGGACCGAAACAAAATCTGACTCGATCTTCACCAGGCTAGCAGCTAGATTCAATACGATCTCCAATATATAATTCTATATATAACACTACAACAATAAAATAACTAATCAAAATTCATTGCTAAATTAGGAAGGCTTGGCCCAATAAAAAATGAACGTATCAATTGTTCCATTATGATAATGGTCTTAAAAAAGTAACAGCTATCATGCCGCAGATTCATCGATCTTTACAATTTATATAAATTATATTTTTAAGCTCACGTCAAAAAAGTTATGTTTTTTTCAAATATACTACACGGAGAAGAAATATCTTGTTATTTTTTTTACGAATCACGGTACATCACAGACGCTCGTACATGTTCGTACACTTATCTCTTATGAACGCAAGCACACATATTCTACCTCTATGAGTACCTCCACAGACGGTGGATCTCTACTTACGTGTCTGCATTCGATACGAATCATTCTCTGCTTGGAGCTCACGTGTCTGCGTCATACACACGGTCCGCTACGAATACCAGATCCATGTGTCCGGGGCATAAAAAAAGATGATCCCGGTGTAACACCTATGCATGTATTTAGTCATTCAATAAAATTCTATCTTTATTAAAAAAAACCTTAAGCTTCGAGAACGTGGAGAGACACTCTCCCCTTAGCAGCCATTCTCGAGTCAGCATATACTAAGTCTTTGAAAATTCGAACAGATTGTACGTATGAAATGAGTTCGGAGAAGACCTTCCAGCTGGCCTACATCACAGAAAGTTGACCCAAATGTTATGTCGTTTATCTGCCTTTTTCTATCCCCTTGGCTTACATCTTTTTCGGGTATGGTCACTCTCTCGATCGACTTGTCAACAAAACATCTAGAAACAGTTGAACTAATTAAAATGATGGTTCGTTTAGTGAACACGTGTGTTTGTTAAGCCCAGTACTCCCTCGAAGAGTAGTAAACCTTACTATAGAGTTTGTGCACGATTCGTGTACACGTCATAATCAAGAACTTATTTAAGGTTTGATCAAAGTTATATAAAAAAAATCTAACTCTCACTATTTTTAGAAATCAAACAATTTAAGGTTTGATCAAAGTTATATAAAAAATTACTAATATTTATGATACAAACTAAGTATCACTAAATTATGAAATATAGTTTCAAAATTAATTATAAAATATATTTTCATAGTAAACCTATTCGGAGACCATTTACTTAAAGTTAAGCTAATTTGAATGATACACAAATCCTATAGTTGTGCCTTTTTTTATTTACGGAGGAAGTACTATACAAACAATACTCCATGTGCATGGCCAGGATTATGCAGCTTTCCGATGCTTCCACATCCGCGTCATCAGAGACCGACCACACAGGTGACTGGTGGTGTACCTTACCTACGCAGAAAGCAAAGCGTTCGAGGCGTCAGCGGCGGCGAGGCCACAAAAGGCATGACCAGCCATCACGGCACCACCTCTCTAAAGCTCTCACTCCCTGCCCTCTCTAGCTATTTTTCCATCACCGCAACCACAAACACGCCCTTCACACGACGCAAAAGGGCACACACTTCTACACACACACACACACACACACACACACACACCTCAAGCTCACATACACTCCCATCTCTCCCTCTCTAGAGTCTCTAGAGAGAGATGGGGTCCTCTCTCCCCCCGTCGTCTGTCGCCGTGCTCACCACCGCAGCCCACGAGCACCGCCACCACCCGTGCTCTCCCGACGACGACTACTGCGAAGACGACGACTTCGAGTTCACGCCTCTCCTCCTCAGGCCGCGGCGCCGGCGCATCATCAACGCGCGCACCGAGCGTCCAAGAACAACCGTCGTCCATGTCGCGGCCACTACGGTCGCCCTCGCCCAGCCGCAGCCTCCCCAGCGCGCGCGCCGCGGAGCGCCAAGCGTCGCGGCGGTAGGGACGACGCCGGCGCCACCAAGGAAGCCGCAGCAGGTGCGGTGGCACGACATGGCGTTCGGGTCCGTGCGCGTGCCGGCGGCCATGGACATGGGCGAGATCAGGAGGCGCCTGAGGGCGCGGCAGCAGCAGGCTCTGGCTGCAGGCGGCGCCGGGAACGAGCAGCCGTCTTCCTCCGCCGCGGGGTGGGCGCCGTGGAGGCTCATACGGTCGCTGAGCTGCAAGGGCGTCGAGGCCGTGGCGGCTGCCGCGGCGCCGGTCAGGCTGGTGTAGGTATGTACAGTCTGATGAGCCTCCAGAGCGAGGTGGATGGCAGGTGTTGGTCATCGATAGATCGAGGCTGGTGTGGCCCGTGAAGGCTGAGAGTGCGGCGCCGACCGGTGAACCGGCGAGTGCACGGGAGTGGCGGCGCCCAGGTTGGTGGGACTAGAAAGGCACAAGAGCAAAGCGCGGCTATTAATGTTCAGTTTCAATTTTCGTCGTGTTTCTTCTTGTTTTAATAAATAAACCTTTTCTCCTCTTTCTTTCTGGTGGCTGTTCAATGTTCGGATTAGTTGGCTAAGCCTAAGTATAGTATAGCCGTTGGATTACTTGTATACTTTATGTACAAGGAGTAATCTACTGCTGCAATAGGCAGGAGTCTTGGAGATCATGGTCAAGGTGCCTGATATCAAGATATTTATTATGAATAAAATTATTCTATGATTACGTCGTGTTCAAATGTTTACTACTTAAAACAGTATCATGTCTAGTCACATGTACGAAATACCTTTCTATAAGACAAGACTAAAGTTACACTCTTGTACTCTATGGTCGCAAATTATAGGTCATCTCTGACTTTTTTTTAAAGTTAAAGCATTTCGATCAGATTTATATAATAAAATAATAATATTTATGATATCAAATAAATATTATTAAATTTATTAATTATATTTTTAAAGTATAGTTATTTGATGTCACAAATTTTTATAATTTTCTCTATAATTTTAATTAAATTTTAGATGCTTCGACTCTTCGAAAAAGCTATAATGACTTATAATTTGAGATAAAAAGAGTAATTATAGGACTCTAGGAAGGCGTTCGGATGCACCAGCCTAAACACCGTTAGCCAATAAATTATAGAAGGATGCTTGGTTGGCCGGCTCAACTGTCCTGCGCTACACCCACCCATGCATGCACGCCCATGCAAGAATACAACTGCATCCGGGCTTTGTTCATGTGGCCATTTTGATCGTTGCTCCCACGCCAGGCCTTGCGGATATAGAATGAGCTAGGGGGGCCATGCGTCAGTCACACATGATAGTCAAGTTGCATCCACTCGTATATAGATAACCAGATAACATCTTAGTTTTTTTTTTGCATCCGCTCGTGCAATCTCACCAAACACTGTGTCTTTCTCTGTTCCACTCATCCTGTGTCCTTTTATCCGGATATACGATGCAATCTCCATGCACAAACCAAACATACTAACAAATGCGTGTTGCAATAGAAACATACACCTTATTGCACCGCCACCTGAACAACTTGCAGCTCGAAGATTTATGTAACGGTCATACAATCTGTTACAATACGTATTGGAATTGGAATTGGATCTGTTCTGTTGTTGGATGCACAAACCCGCGTGATACTAATTCGTATGAGCACGCGGGTGATGAGTCTAGGTCATAGACGAGACAACGAGAAGCATGAGGACAATGTAGAAAGTAAAAAAGACGGATGAAAAAATCCCTTTACTCTTTAATATTAGTTGTCAATATATAGATATAGATTACAGATAGATATAGATATAGAATATAGATTAATCAAGTATCAAAGGGACGAGATATCCAAATCATCTAACATTGTGTAACATGCATGGTTACAATTTTTGTTGACGTTGGAGCATTGTTGTGTTTTCTTTCTTTTGTATAAAAAGGAGTATGAGCACGGTGGCTAAGCACGAGGCATCGAGGATTTGTATGTACGCAGGCGTGCCGCGCGTGCGTCTCGAGGAAAAGACACAGCCGCCTACAGTAACTTTAATTAGTTTTTAACGAAGCTGAGAAAAGGGCCTCTCTAATCCACAGAGTGAACCCAGCGGCCCAGCCTCTACCACCTAGCATTTGGTAAATTAACAAATTGGGGGTAAGGTTCTCGTTAAGGCCATGTTTGTTTCGCATGGCAAAAATTTTGCCCAGCACTTTTAGCTTATTTTTTTGGTAAATGGATCCAAACAGGTAGGCTAAAAATAAGCAAAATGGGAAGCTAAAGTTTAGTCCATTTGCATCTCAAGTGGTGTAAAACTAAGTTAAAAGCATTGGGGGGTGTGAAGGACACCTCATTTTGCACTTTTAACCAAAATTTTTTTCCATGGATCCAAACACCCCAGCAAGGACTAAAATTTAGCAGCAAAAGTTTGCCATGACAAATGGATCCAAACAGGGTCTAAGTCTAATTAAAGATCCCCACTGATCCATATATGATTTACAATATTTTTGGGCTTAGAATTACCTCTTGTCCTACTCTACGCCTTGTTTTGCCGTATTCATTTTAACTTCAATCCACATGTATTAGGATAGTTTGGAATAGAAAATTAACTAGTTTACACCTTAATCCACTCCAACATATATGTGAATTGAGGTGGATACAAGTATAGCCAAAACAAGCCCTTAATGATATCACATTTGGTAATTCTGAATATTGCACAATTATTTTGAGACTAAGTCTACAAATAAATGCCTCATAAATTGTAGTTTTATCCTGAGTCAAACTTCTCCGACTTTCACTAAGTTTATAGAAAAAATACGCTAGTACCAAAACATTTTCATTAAATTTCCAACAAAATATGTATGTTTTGATAGCGAATTATTGGAACTTGTAGATACGTTAATATGTTTTCTAAAAAACCTTTGTCAAAAAGTTATATAGAAGTTTGACTTTTAATAAGGCTAAAGTGAGCTATAATTTAGAATGGAGAACCGCATAATATGATTTCGTATTTTGCTAATGCATAAACGCTCCATGCATGTATCGGTACTGTGGCATTTAGCAGTAATATATGGATCTGGCTCCGTGACAACATTTCAGGTTATTTTTTCTGTGGGTTTAGATGTCTCTTTTTCCTTTTCCTTTTGTCGAGGGTAGAGGTCGATATATACATGAATGCGCATCAATATCTCGAGCTTAGTCGACAGGCGGCGTAGAGAAGGCTATCAACTATTGAGAAGATTCGAGCTAACAGTTTAAGCGACAGCCCTCTAGATGAGCTTCATGGTAGCAAAAAAGAGGGAAGTGATTAGAGAAAAAAATTAAAAGGCAAAAGGTTAACGGATGGAAAGAATGAAGAAAAATGGTAAAGAAAAGTGGAACAAAAGCTGCGGTGAAAGTGAAACCAATCGATTGTTTTATCTATGCCAGCATGTTTTCAAAACCTTTGGTGCTACCACACCCTACTTGATTCTGTCCTCTTAGCGATTTTTTTATTTTTAATATTTTTTGTAAACTAATTTTAAATCTAACACTGTTTTATTTATTTTTTCCAAAACTAACACTTTTTGCCGCGCCTACTTCCCTGGCGCGGCGAAACGCCTGTGCCGCGCCATGCATGGTGGCGAGGAGAGAGGGATGACGTGGCGACGACCGGGGCACTGACCGGTGACGTGGCAGGGTCTGCCGTGCCACCGATCTTGGCGCGGCAGTGACACACCCTTATTGGTGGCGCGGCAGAGCCGGCTAAAGGCCCGTGGCCTAGTCCCGCCTACCTGCCGCGCCCGCCGCGCCTGGCCGCTTGCCCGCCGCGCGTGCCCGCCGCCTCGCCTGTCTGCCGCGCTTGCCGCCGGCCACGGCCGCACGCCGCCCGCCACGCCGAGCACGCCACTCCCGCCGCGCCCACACGCCGGCGCACCACCCCCTCCGGCCGCCCGCCGCACCCTCCAGCCACGCACGGCGGCTGCCCGCCGCTCCACGGACGCCCACCGCTCCCGCCACCGCCCTCACTGCCGCGATGCCGCCGTCACTGCAACGCCCGCGACTGCCGCCGCTGCCCTCACTTCCGCGTTGTACACTACTCCCAACCGCCGCACGCCCTTCTCTCTATCCCGTGTCCACCCGCCGCTGCCGTCGAGGTCAGCGCCCGCACCTCCCGGCTCGGTCTAGCGCGCCGCTGCCGCGAGGTACTCCCCTAGTGTATTTGTTGATTGAATCAATATTGTTAGTATAGTAAGTTAGTAAAATAAATAAAGTTAGTATAATTAGTAAAGTATAGTTAGTATAGTTAGTAAAGTTAGTTAGTTTAGTTAGTATAGGCAATATAGTAAGTTAGTATAGATAGTAAAGTTAGTTAGTTTAGTTAGTACAGTTAGTGAGTCTAGTTATACATTAGTTGTTGTAGTTAGCCTTGTATAGATGTTAATATTAGATTAGTTAGTATAGTTATAGTTAGAATAAGTATTAATATTACTATGGACATTACGTACGACGATTTCGATGAATTGATGAAGTTTCTTGAAATACTTTTGTAGATGGATTGTTATATTAGAGTTTTTTACGGAGGAAGTGTTAGAGAGAAGATGGTATATTTGAGGATATGGAAGAAGAATTGGAATGGTTTGATGAACCTCCTAGCTTCAACGACATTTGTGTTCGTTTGAATGCAAAGTTTGACGGTGACTTCACGCTGAAGGGGAGGTTTGATACTGGGAAGACTATGGCACATTATGTCCTCATGCCCTTGCGCGACCCTGCTCACTGGTCCCGCTACACTAGGGTGCTCCAAGGTTCCAATGTGCCCATGGCTGAGGTGGTGGTGGAGAATGGGTACAGGATGCAGGGTGTCTAGGACGGCCTGTCCATTGACGGTGTTGGAGGCAATGAGCAAGAATTGGGGGTCGAAGGAGAAGCAGCTCAGGATAACATGGATTTGGATGGTCAGTTGGCGTAGGAGCAGTTTCATTCAAGTCAAGTAGGCTGTATAAGCAATGATTTCGATGTGAATGAGTTCGAACTGGAAGAGGAGGAGCAGGAGGAGGAGGGAAGGATCGGTGATGTAGTTAGCAGTGATTCGGACGATTTAGATGGTGACCAGGGAGATAGACATGCTATGCCCACACCAGTTGATGCTATGCTAGTATCTGTTCATGGTATGCCATTACCAGTACCAACTGAGGTTTTGCATGCTATCCAGACTTAGGGTAGACTAGTCACGGATTTGCCAGCAGATGATACCCCCTATGGTTTATGGGGCAGAATTAGCGAAGCGCAGCAGTATGTTCCACCACCACCTTACACAGCGACTG